TGGAGCTCCCTATGGGGCCACGGAACGTTGTGAGGTGTGCCGAAATGGGGTGGTGACAGGTGCGGGCGCGGGCACTGGGGCCTTCGGTGGAGCTCCCTATGGGGCCACGAAACGTGTGAGGGGTGTGCCGAATTGGGTGTGCGTGACGCATGCGGGCGGCAGCACTGGGGCCTTCGGTGGAGCTCCGTATGGGGCCACGAAGCGTGTGAGGGGTGTGCCGAATTGGGTGTGCGTGACGCATGCGGGCGGCAGCAAGGAGGAGGGGGAGGAAGGAAGGAAGGAAGGATAACGCGGGGCACCGTCTCTTCAAAACGAGGACCCAACACCACAGGATGGTTGGGAACAAACAAGCTCCCGCCGCCCGCGCAGAGGAGGCGGAAGCCCCGCGCTCCAAGAGAGGAGCATGCGCCTCTGGGCGGCGGGGGGCTCCGCGCTCGCGCCGCCCGCCCGCCGGGGCAAGGGCGCCATCCAAGGGCCGCCGCGGTGCCCGGTCCTGGCCGCACCACGGTTCCGTCGGGCCTGGCCCTTGACAGGAGGACTATTCAAAAGCAATCACAAGATAGGCTGGGGACGGTGCTTCAGCAGCGTTTTTGGCTATTTTTGGAGTATCTTTTGAATCGTGTTTTATTTTTTTCGTCCAAGTCCGCCAGTATGGGGGTCACGCCCGACTTTATCACAACGAGGAGGTCGCCTGCAAGTGCGAGTGGCCTCTCGTCGGAGTGGCCTCTGGTGCGGGCCCGAAGGAGTCCCCCGATCGCCGCGCGCGATGCGGCAGCAGCGTCTTGCGCGCCGTGGTCTGGCGCCCCCGCGGCAGCCAGGAAGCAGCGCACCGAGGTACCCCTGGGGCCCACCTAACGGGTCTGTTCGACTCAGGGTCGACTCAAGTTCGACTCAAGTTCGACTCAAGTCCGACTCCGGATTGACTCGACTCAAGTCGACGGACGCTCGACGCAGCTTGGACGCATGAGTGGAGCGAGTGTCTCCAGGAAGGTGCCCAGAATGATCATCCAAGCCACCCTTATCCAGGATCGCTCTTGCGTGTAGCCGAGGGGGGTGCAACTCGGGCCTCGAGGGCTGACCTGGCAGTCTTCGAGCCCGCCGCTTGAGGAGGGAGGGGGGTCCAGGCACCACAGAGTTCCAGCACCATCACCACTGCGATTTTCGCTGGAGGGCCTCTCGGGGGAGAAGCCACCGAACTCGGCATGAGCACTTCGGTTGTGGCTTTCATCGAGTTGGCCGCCCTGGGGCTCCGAATCGACCACAGCCGGTGTGAGGCTGTCTTCGCTGGTGCGACAGGTTTTTGCATGCGCTATACATTCCCCAGGGTGTGCCCTCGATGCAGTTGTGGTCGCTCCGAGAGTTTATGTTTTCAGTGGGAACCCATGCCAAGCAACACCCTGCTTGCCTCCAGGGTGTCCTGTGATTCCTGGGTTTCGATGGTTTTGCTATGGGATGCGTGACACTCCCATACGACAAATCAATGGGTGTATTGGGGTCTCAGGGTTGGGTTTCTTGTGGAAGGTTTCTTGTGGTCGAGCTCCTACTGTATTGCCATTCGTTGTTCCTCTGGGGGCGAGGGCTAGGTGCCGTGCCCCGATGCCCAGCGCCGTCGGCAAGAAGACGGCGTCGCCCCTGGCTTTCCGGGCTGTCAGTGCAGCCCGGCGGAGGAGAGGGAGAGGAAGCGAGAAACACGGGGACGACGGCGGACGAGGAGGCGACGGACGAGAGGGCCGGGGCCGACGGGGCAAGGCAGGAGACCAGGGATTGTAAAAGGACGATGCCTTGCAGACAAACATATCAAACAGCGGTGAGAAGACCACGCCGGCCGTGACTCGCTGCGCAACTGAGACGGCTTGGTGCGTAGGGTGGCAGGGCTTTATGAAGCCCTCACCGTTATTTCAGGCTCCCCGGCCAGGAAAACCACTACCAACCCAGCCGAATCGAGTGGCATGCGCACCTGGACGGTACGAGTAAGGGCCAGCCCAGGGCGGGCGGGACAAGGCAGGAGGGCGGGCAGGCGGAAGGGAGACAGGGAAGGCAGCAGACGGGGGGGCGGGGAGCGAGGAAGCAGAGGAGACGGGATGAGAGCCAGAATGGGGCGAAGGTCAGGCGATCGCAAACATGGATTAAGGGGGCGTGGATTAGCGAAGGGTCCCGTTTCCATGGGAAATGGCGGTCTCCAGACGCCGAACGAGGCGGCACTGGCCGCATTTGGGGGAGGGCACTCCCCCCGATCCATGGCTTCGGCGACCGCGCGCCCAATCCATGGATCGCCAATCCATGCTTGCGCGCCCCCGATAAAGGGGGCTCTGGAGGGGGCAAAGGGACAGCGACCGCTCGCAGATGGGCCAGGGCGGGGCCGCCCGCGACGAAGCGCCACGAGCCACGGGCCGAGCCCTCGGCCCACCCCCCTCTGCGGCATCTCCCGAGCTGCACGGCTGCGCGCAGGGCCCGCCGGGGGCTCACAGTCCGGGGCGACGACGCCCGTGGCGATGCCCTCGGGGCCGCACAGCTCCGGGCCGGGTGGCCCCCGGCCCGCGCGGCCAGGGCCTGGTGGCGGCGGACGTGAACTGGATGGGCAAGGCGACCTCGTCGGACCCGTACTGCGTCGTCGGCCTCGAGGGCGGGGCACAGTTCACCACCAGGGACGTCCGCGGCACGCTCGAGCCGAGGTGGGACGAGGAGCTCGCTCCTCCTTCCTTCCTTCCTCCCTCCCTTCCTTCCTCCTTCACCACCCACCAAACCGCCCCAAGCGAACCCGAAAACCTCAATGTGTCCTCCATTTCCACAGTGTGTGTGTGTGTGTGTGCGTGCGTGCGTGCGTGCGTGCGTGCGTGCGTGCGTGCGTGCGTGCGTGCGTGCGTGCGTGCGTGCGTGCGTGCGTGCGTGAGTGCGTGCGTGTGGTGTGTGTGTGTGTGTGTGTGTGTGTGTGTGTGTGTGTGTGTGTGTGTGTGTGTGTGTGTGTGTGTGTGTGTGTGTGTGTGTGTGTGTGTGTGGGGGGGGTCGGGGAACATGGAGAAAGCACATACGGAAATTCAGGTCTTCGGGTTAGGTTGGGGTGGTCGGGTAGGCAGTCACTCCTCGTCGTCGCCGGCGTCCTCCTCTTCCACCTCCTGCTATCCTCCCGTTTGGCTCCACCTACTCCGTTGTTCGCCATCGTGCCGTGCTGCTCTTGCCCTTGTGCTGTGCCAGGTACTCCGCGTGCCGCTCCGCGCAGTGCGCGCTCGGGATGCCCCCGGCGAGGGGTCGTCTTCTCCTCTCCCGAGGGGTGCAGAACGAGGGCGCTTCCTCTTCCAGCAGGAGGAGGAGGAGGAGGAGGAGGAGGAGGAGGAGGAGGAGGAGGAGGAGGAGGAGGAGGAGGAGGGGGAGGAGGGGGAGGGGGAGGGGGAGGGGAGGAGGAGGGGGAGGGGAGGAGGGCGGAGCCCGCGGGGCTCCCTTGACCCAGCCTTCCCTCTCCCGGGGCGCTCCGCCGGCCGCCCCCCGGGAAAGGAGCTCAGCTTTTACCTGGCGCGCCCTCACGGCACGCTGACCGTGAAGCTGTTCGACAAGGACGGGGAGGGGGTGCCGCACTTCCCAGAGATCCGACGCCTTGAAAAAATCACGACGGCGGTTTTTCGCCGATTTCGGCCCCTGGGGGCCCTCGCGGGGCCTCGGGACCGTCAAAAAAGGACTCGGGATGAAGAACCGGTCCTGGGGAATGGGTCGAGACTTCCGGGGACCGCGTATTGAAAAAATCACGACGTCGGATCTCTGGGTTGCCAGTGGGCGCCCTCGGCAAGCGTCCTCGGGCAGGGGCGATGGCGCGGGTGGGGAGGCCCTTGCCCCCTCTCCTCCTCCGGCTCCTCTGGTGCATGGGACAGGGCCGGGCGCCCGGGGTCGGGCCGGGAAGGGAGGACCGGCGGAGGTTTTGAAGGCGTTCGGGCTGCGGGAGGGGGAGCTCGAGCACGTCCGATACCTCGGCCGCCTGTCCTTGGAGCGAGGCGAGCACGACAGCGCCGACGAGTGCGAGTCGGAAGCTGAGCTCGGTTGATTGGGGCGAGACCTAGCGTTTAGCGCAAGCCAATACCATACCATATCCCAGTACGCGTTCTCCAACTTCGTCCCCTCCAGCACCCCCTCTTTCACCCCCTGGGGTAGGGGGGCGGGGATGAAGAGAGGGAGAAAAGGGATGGTTTGGTACGAAGGACAGACTGGAACCCAGGTGAAAACGGGTCGTGGACCCCAGGGCTATCCCCGGGACTGGCGTGTCTTCCTGATGAGTCGTGCTTTGGCGGTGCTGGGGCGCGTTCCAGGAGGCCGAGCACGCGAAACCGGCAACAGAAACTGAGCTTTCCCTTGAATATTCAAATCCTGGCAAATACAGTGGAGGCCCATGCCAAGAAACACCCTGCTTGCCTCCAGGGTGCCCTGTTTTTTTTTGGGGGGGGGGTGGTCGATGGCTTTGCCATGGAAGCGTGACGTTCCCACACCAAACAATAGATGGACGTCTTGGGGTCTCAGGGCTGGATTTCTGGTGGAAGGTTTCTTGTGGTCGGGCCTCCACTGCAATGGTCGCAAAGGATGGCGCAGACGGTTCGGAGCCGGTAGCGGAGGCCGCGATCGGCGCGAAGATCGAAGATATGGGGGCCGAGGCGGGGTCATGGCGGCCACTGGGTGCACCTCTTCCTCCCGTTCCCTCTCCTCCTTCCCCCGACGACGACGGCGACGACGACGGCGACCGTGAAGGATCTGACGAGCAGGGACGACCTGCTCGGGTCGGCGAGGATCCCGCTGGGTGGCCTGCGGCCCGGGAGGAAGGTGCGCGGCCCGCAGGGGCTAGGGGGAAGGACGGATGAAAGATCGATGAGGTTCGTCCTCGATGCTCGAAACTCGATGCTCAATCCTCCTGCTCCTCCTCCTCCTCCTCCTCCCCCTCCTCCCTCCTGCCTCTCCTCCTCCTCCTCCTCCTCCTCCTCCTCCTCCTCCTCCTCCCTCCGTCTCTCCCCGTCATTATCCTCCTCCGCCTCCTCTTCCTGAATATCCTCCTCTTCCTCCTCCTCCTTCTCCTTTTCCTCCTCCTCCTCCTCCTCGATGAGGATCCTCCTCGATGCTCGAACGTCGATGCTCAAGCCTCCTCCTCCTCCTCCTCCCTTCCTCCTCCTCCTCTCCTCATTCTTCTTCTTTCTCCTTTTGACGTTGGGCATACATGAAGCGCGAGCTTGTTGCGTCGTGAAAGAAACACGGTGCGAGGCCTGAATGACTAAAATGATAACGCTTGGTTGGCGCAGCGGCAAACAGAGAGGCGTGAAGAAGTGGAGACAGACCGTGGGCCCGCAAGGGCACAGAGTGTGCGCTAGCCAGGCGATGAAGGCCCTTTCCTTTGCACCCCCCTCCCCTGTTCAGCAACCATCCACTCATCGATGTCCTTTCCACCATGTTTGGTCAAGGTTGGCAGTACAGAGCAGCAAGCATGTGCAGCTACGTGCAGCTCCTATTCGTCTACGGCGCTGGTGCGCTCGAGCATACACCGCGGCATCAAGGTGATGGTCGAGATACTGCTCGGAAACTTCCTCTTCCTCCTCTTCCTCCTCTTCCTCCTCTTCCTCCTCTTCCTCCTCTTCCTCCTCTTCCTCCTTCTTCTCATCCACCTCTGCCCATGATGTCACTTCGTTCATTTCTTCTTCACCTCGTTCTCTTCGCGCGCATGCGAGAGGGACCGAGGGAATAGGAATAGGAATAGGAATAGGAACCACTGGCGATGCCAATCTCAATGTGCAATCTCTCTATAAAAATTCCCTGAACTTGAAGCCGCAATTCAGGACATCCATCACGAATGGCACGGAATTTATCACGCGCGGCACGAAATTGTTCTCACAGTCTCCTCACATTTGCTTGCAGTCTTGATCTGTATTCTTGATGGCGCCCCAGTCGATCACCGCCGAACCGCTGGGCAAAAAAGGGGCGCCTGGAGTTCCACTGATCTCTCTGAGCTCCTGAGAGATAGCATCACGGTAGCTAGCAATATTGGGCTCTAACTTCACCTGCTGCATTCTACGTGGCCCGATGGCGGCACTGTAGCCATACGAACTGCACCCTGGGCCTAGACTAGGGGTAGAGCGACTAGTGTGAGACGTACATGGCTCAATCGTCCCGCCTCTCTCACAAGCGCTGATCCCTGAGCTGTAGCTAGGGTAGAAGTCATCTGGCTCCATCTTCACCTGTGCTCCATTCTCGGGTCTGCAGCTGTCGACGTTAGACTTGGTCGTCGCAGCACTCCCCCCGCTCTCGTCTCTGTAGCTGATGGCGTTGGGCTCGTGCTTCGCCTCCGCCCTTGCCAACGTACAAGACTCCATGTCGTTGTAGCTGATGACATTGGGCTTGTGCTTCGCCTCCGCCACTAAGCGCCGTACAAGACTTCGCGGGGAGTCGTCGTCGTTGTAGCTGATGGCATTGGGCTCGTGCGTCGCCCCCACCGCTGCCAAAGTGCAAGACTCCACGTCGTTGCAGCTGATGACATTGGGGTCGTGCTTCACCTCCGCCACTAGCGCCGTACAAGACTGCGCGGGATCGACGTCGTCGTTGTAGCTGATGGCATTGGGCTCGTGCTTCGCCTCCGCCGTTGCCACCGTGCAAGACTTCACGTCGTCGCAGCTGATGACATTGGGCTCGTGCTTTGCGTCCCCAACCACCGCCGTACAAGACTTCGCGGGATCGTCGCCGTTGTAGCTGATGGCGTTGGGCTCGTGCTTCGCCTCCGCCACTGCCACCGTACAAGACTCCTCGTCGTTGTAGCTGATGGCATTGGGTTCGTGCTTCGCCTTCGCCCAAGACCAGTACCAAGCGTCATAACTGTCTATCTTCCACTTCAATGTCGCAATCTCTGTATACAAGCGTCTAATGAGGTTATCTGCTGAGATCCTTGCGTGCTGTCTGCGCATCTTCCGGTCTGTCGTGCTCCCCTTCACCGTATTGCGCCCCTCGCGGGCGCGTCCCGTAGCTTCCATTGGAGAAATTTGCCTCGATCTTTGCCACCCTGTAGAATTGCTTACGTTCTCACTCAGGTGCCACAAGCACGGCGCGATGAGCCGCCGAGGCAGGAACCATGGGCACGGTTGGAGCCAAAATGGTCGGCGCGCCCAGGGCCCCCTTGTGCTTGCAGAGAGAGGGACCGAGGGAGGGAGGGGGTGAGGGAGGGAGAGAGGGGGAGGATAAGGAAGCGGAGGAGGAGGAGGAGGAGGAGGAGGAGGAGGAGGAGGAGGAGGAGAGGAGGAGGAGGAGGAGGAGGAGGAGGAGGAGGAGGAGGAGGAGGAGGAGGAGTAGGAACAAGAGGAGGAGGCGGAGGAGGAGGAGGAGGAGGAGGAGGAGGAGGAGGAGGAGGCGGAGGAGGAGGAGGAGGGTCGAGGTTCGAGCCTGGAGGGCTTGGGAGGCAGTCTGCGTCGAGGCTGCAGCCGTCCTCGTTTCCAGGCCCTCAGGCCGCAGCACCCCACGCCACGTGCGCCTCCGCCCGTGGGCTTTCCTCCGGCCATCGCGACTGAGAGGCGGGCCGGAGCTCCACGCCGCAGCCACCACGAGGGCCCCAAGAAAGTCCCAAGAGGGGCAGCACGAACTGACGTCTCGAGCCTTTCACGCTCATGGCCCGAGAAGCCCCCCAGAGGGACTCCCGAGGCACGCCCCCAAGAGGCCTCCAAGATGCCCCCAAGAAGCTCACACGAGGCCTCCCTCCGGCGTTGCTCGCAGGCGCGCCGCCGCGCGCCCACGCCCGCGCCCTGAGGCGCACTGGGCCCCGAGGCGCTACCAGCATGCTCGGCGCTCGGGCCAATTCTGGGCACTCGCCGGGCAGATGCCCGAGGCCAGCGCCAGATGCTGCGGCCACACTTGGCTCTGGCCACCACGCTTCTGCGTGTACGGTCGGGCCCAGGGCTGAGATCGACGTCGCTTCGGGGAGGGCCCCCTCATGTTCTTCGTGCTTGTTGGATGTTCTTGTGCATCCCGGGGGAGGGTGCCCTCGAATGCTCGGTGTGTTTTGGCCGGCGGGGGGTCTCAGGCTCTCGAGGGATGTGCTTCTGCCCCAGGTCCAGCCGTACGCGCGCGGTCGCTCTGGCAGCCGACCACGCCCCCGGAGGTACCTTCACGTGCTCGCCCCGCACGGCGCCCAGGGGAAGCCAGGAGCAAGCGGCGGCCGCAACCGCAGCCTCTCCAGATAAGGGAGTGATCCCTCTTCGCTGAGCGCGGCCAGCTGGAGCCAGGACCGGGCCTGCTCCTGCTGCTGCTGGAGCCAATACCGGACTGGGCTAGGACGAGGATAACTCCATTCCAGAGCGTTCCGAATCGCTCTCAGACCGCTCGGGAACGCTCTGAGAAGGCCGCGGCGCCCGAGACATCCTCCAGCGCCGCCAGATCTCAGAGATTCTCAATTTAGCCTGACCCGATTGTATTCTCGTCCTGGCTTCGTCGTATAATTCCTGGCGTTTCCGCTGGCGGCACCGCCCGTTTCCGCGCTTGCGGGCACGCCCGCTGGGCCTCGCCGAGCGCGGCTCAGCGGGAAAAACCGGCGCGCGCCAGAAAAGGTGTGCCGCGACCTCTGCGCTGCGCGCTCGAGTTCCGTCGGGCATGTCCCCCTACAGGAAGAATATGCAAGACTAGTCGCAAGATAGTGAGGGAAGGATTTGTTCACTCGCGCTGCTGGTGCGCGCGGCTGTCCGCTGGGCCGTGGGCGCGGGGGCTCCTCGGCGCACTGTTGCTGCGGTGGCGCGCTCCGCGCTGTCGGCGGCTGCCTTCGCGGCAGGCGCCGCGGCGCGGCCTGCGCCTGCTGAAGCGGCTGCGCCTAGGGAGCCCGGCGACACCAAGAAGGAGCGACGCCGCAGGCGGCGGGCGAGGCTGGCGGCGCGGCGCGCTGCGGCTGGTGTTCCTCCTGGGGCGGAGGCCCCTGCCGCGGGCGCGGCGGGCGAGGCTGGCGCTCCCGGCAAAAAAGGTCGGGGAGATGCTCTTCGCGGAGGCGTTCCCGCTGGTGGGCCCCGCTGGGTCGGCAACAGCGACGGCGACGACGACGCGATGGGCGGATCCCTGGGCGACGAGTGGGCCGACGGCCTGCCTCCTCGCGCCTCTCGGGGCTCGCGGAGGAGGCGGGGCCGGCGGCGGGCGCTGCCGGAGGAGGCTGCTGCGGGTGCAGCGGCGGCGGCGGCGGCAGGCGCGGGCCTCGGCCCGCCTGCCGAGGCGGCGGCGGCTTCCCTGGGGTTCCCTCTGGTCGCGCTGGGGGCGGCGGGGGCGGCGGCGGGCCCCCTGGAGGCGGTGCGCGCCGCGCTGCCCGTCGGCGGGCTGGCGGCCCTGGACTCCTTCGAGGCGTGCCAGGGCGTGCGGGCGGCCGCCGACGACGTCCTGCTCCGCGCGCAGCCTCCGCCCTCGGAGGCGTTGCGCGAGGAGCTCCAGCGCATGCTGGACCTGGTGCTCCCGCGCTAGGTTCTCGCGCTTGCGGGGGCGCCGCCCCTTCGGGGGGTCTAGGCCCCGCTCCGCCCTACCCTTCGGCGGTGGGGCTCGGCCTGGCGGCCGCCGCGCCTGGCGCTCGGCGGCGTCGCTGGCCTGGCGGGCGGCGGCGGGCCCCGCCCTTGGCGCGGGCGGCCGCGGCGCCCTCCCTCGGCGTCTTCGGCCTCGCGTTCGCGGTCGTGGACGGCCAGGGCCTTCTGCTGGCTGGCGCGTCGGCGGGAGGGCGTGCGGAGCCGAGCGCCGCGCTCGGTCAGCCTACAATTAAAATAAGGTCCCAGTGGCACAGCCCGCCTGCGGTTCCCTCGCCCAGGGCAGCGCTTCGTGGCCCCATAGGGAGC